GCCTTTGCTGTGTCCCATAGGTTTTGGACAGTTGTCTGTTCATTTTCATTTGTTTCCAGAAATTTTTTTATTTCTTCTCTTATCTCATTATTGACCCATTCATTGTTTAATAGTGTACTGTTCAGTCTGCATGAGTTTGCAAGTTTTTGAAGTTTCTCTTTGAGGTTGATTTCGAGTTTCAAGGCCTTGTGGTCTGAGAAAAGTTTGGTATTATTTCAATTTTCCTGAATTTGCTGAGGCTTGCTTTGTGTCCTATCATGTGGTCTATCTTTGAAAAACTGCCATGAGCATTTGAAAAGAATGTGTATTTTTCTTCTTTGGGATGTAAGGTTCTCTATATGTCAGTTAAGTCTCTTTGATTCAGTGTGTCATTCAGTGCCACGATATGTTTATTAATGTTTTGTTTGGAAGATCTGTCCATTTTTGACAGTGGGGTGTTGCAATCCCCTACTATGAGTGTGTTGCTGTCTATATCTTTTTTGAAGTCATCCAACAATTTCCTTATAAACTTCGGGGCTCCTATATTGGGAGCATATAAGTTTACAATGTTGATGTCTTCTTGATAGATTCTTCCTTTAAGTATGATAAAGTGACCCTCTGGGTCCCTCTTTATGGCCTTTGCTTTGAAATCTACTTTGTCTGATACAAGTATGGCAACGCCAGCCTTTTTCTCATGTCTATTTATTTGGAATATTATTTTCCATCCCTTTACTTTCAATCTGTGTAGGTCTTTTGCTCTGAGGTGGGTCTCTTGTAGGCAGCATATGTGTGGGTCATGTTTTCTTATCCATTCAGCTACCCTGTGTCTCTTGATTGGGGCATTGAGTCCATTCACATTGAGAGATATTACTGATAGAAACTTACTCATCTTTTCTCTTTGTACTTGTGTTCCTCTCTGTCTCATTCTTTTCCTTCATCTGCTTAAACCAGTCCCCTTAGCATATCTTGGAGTGCTGGTTTGGTAGAGATGTATTCTTTTAGCTTTCTTTTGTCTGGGAAACTCCGTATTTCCCCCTCTATTTTAATGGAGAGCCTAGCTGGGTAGAGCAGCCTTGGCTGTAGGCCCTTGCATTTCATGGCTTGGAATATTTGTTGCCATTCCCTTCTGGCTTGTAGTGTTTCTGTTGAGAAGTCAGCTCCTAGGCGTATCGGGGCCCCCCTTGTATGTTACTTTCTCCTTCTCCCTTGCTGCCTTGAGGATTCTCTCTTTGTCTTTGACATTTGCCATTTTAATGATGATGTGTCTTGGAGTCGACCTCCTTGGGTCCCTCTTGAGTGGGGTCCTCTGTGCCTCCTAGATCCATGAGAGCCTTTCTCTCCTCAAATTAGGGAAATTTTCCATCATTACTTTTTCGAGGAGGTTCTCTATTCCTTGCTCCTCTGCTTCTCCTTCTGGTATCCCTATTATACGGATATTATTGCGTTTCAGGTTGTCCTGCATTTCCCTAAATGCTTCTTCATTCTTTTTGAGTCGTTTTTCCATTTCTTGTTCTTTCTGGGAGCTTTTTTCTACCTTGTCCTCCATCTCACTGATTCGATCCTCAGCTTCCTCCAGCCTGCTTTGGATTCCTTCTACTGTGTTCTTCAATTCAGAAATGGTATTCTTCATATCCTCTTGTGTCTTCTTGATAGTTTCTATGTCCTTTTCCAGGCTGATATAGTTTGCTGTAAGATCCTGATCGTTTCTCTGCAGTTTCTCATAGTTCTCTTTGAGCTGGCTGATCTCATTGAGCTTCCTTAGAACCATTGTTTTGAATTCCATACCTGATAGTTCCCTTGCCTCTATTTCATTTAGCTCTCTCTGTGGGGAGTCCCCTTTTCCACTCATTTGGGGGGAACTTCTTTTTCTTCCCATTTTTGTGAGAGTCTGTTAAGTATTTTTGTCCTTTACTTTTCTTTCTGGGCTTGCCTCGGATGATGTCAGTTTTTGACCCTATACAGCCTTGGGTTGTTTGTTTGAGTCTTTCAGGAGTCTAATGCCTGTGTGACTCCTGCTTGGAGCAGCTCTGTGACCCCTTCGGTCAGGGCTGAGCTATTTTTTGGGATCTCTCTGCGCTCTCACCCGGGCTCCTTGAGCGCATTCCCCGCGCGGCAGGGTCCCCCACCTGCCTGGGCTCGCTGTGTTTGCCCCAGACCAGGGGGCTTATTCGCGACTTCCCGTACTCATCTGTCCTCCCTGGCACGCGAGCTTCGCGGCACTGGTCAGTTTAGGGTCTTCTATTGTGTGTTTTCCCCGCTTTTGGCCCTTTGGGTGAGTTGCCTGCCCTCGCCAAATGGGGACTACGGAAATGGGAGGAATTCAGCTCTAGGACTCTCCGGTTAATCCTGTCTCTGGTCTCTCCTCCAGGGACTCTGGGCAGCTCTACTTATTTTGTGGGCCGCTCCGCAATCGCGGCGGGTAGGTCAATTTACGCCTGCCCTTGCCCCTCTGTGCAATCCCTCACAGGCTGTATGGGTGCCAGTCTGTGTGAGGCCTTGCCAGCAGGTGCAAGCGTTCGCCAGCCCGCGTGGGTCACACACACACTCGCCAACCCTTGCCAGTCACTCGGCGCAAGTGTGCGCGCCTGCTCTGGGTGTTTTGGGGGTGTCTATGTTTGCTTTTCAGCTTTTGGCTCTTTCAGGGTGTGGCCTCTTCCCGCGCAATGGAGACTATGGCAAGGAGAACGAGTTGGGACTCCCCGGTTCCTCCTCCTTTTCTTTCCCCAATGCCTCCATTTTTAGTCTCCCCTCAGGGGCCTCTGGGCAGTTCTGTGACCCCTTCGGCCAGGGATCCAACCCCTGTGCGGACTGCGTTTCAATCGCAGGCAGTCTGGTTCATGCGCACCCTGCTTCTGCCTCTTTGGGGTCGCGCCTTTCCAGCCCACAATGGAGACTACCGGACGGGGAGGGAGTCGGGACTCCCCGGTTCCTCCTCCCATTCTTTCCCCAAGGCCTCTGTCTCCAGTCTCTCCTCAAGGCTCTCCCAGCCAGTCTGCACTCAGCCCCGTAGCTCACACGCGTACAAGCTGTGTGCGGAGCGCACAAAAGGCAGGTTAATTGATTCCCTTATGCCTGAGCGAGATGGTAGCTGCAGAGTGGGAAGTGCGTTATTACCCAGGCTCCACTGGCCGCCGTGTCAGTTCTCTTCACAAAGTTTTCCTCACCAGTCTTTTCCCAGGCACCAACCCACCCTGCTGCCGCCTCTACCCAGCGATCAAGGAGGGTGGCTGCCGCTGCAACTTTTGCGTTTGCCCTTTAAATGTCTTTTTGCATCCCCAGCCACCTGTCTCTGGCAGAGAGCACCCCTAAGCTTTTTGGGGTTGCATTTTGTCTGTATTTTCTCGGCTTTAGCTGCTGTAGTTTAGGAGTTCCTGTTTATGATTCAGACCCCGTTCTTCTCGGAGGGGACGCTAACTGGCCGTTTCAATGTCCCTCTGGTGCCAGTGCCTGTGCGCACCCAGCCCACTCTCTCGAGCCTCCACCGCAATTCTCACCCGTTGGGATGTGTGAGAGTAGAATCCACTGTTCGCGGCACCAAGGCTCCTCTCCCACTATCGCTCCACTGCTTTCCAGGTGATTACTCCATTATTTAGTTGCAATTCCAGTTTGGTTTTGGGAGGAGGTCAGCGTGACTCCCTTTCACTCCTCCACCAACTTTTCCGCCGGCTTGGTGAACATTTTTAAGATAGTAGAATTACTCAAGGCATTTACCCTATCTTTATTTTTCTGCTGTAGACCTATGCTAAATCCTAGTAAATAATATTAAACATGCCTATAATAGAAATATTTTCAGCAATTAAAAATAGTGATAGTGATTTATATTTATTAATATGCAAAGATGTCTAAATAGGGTGGGGCAAAAGTAGGTATACAGTTGTTCATATGGAAAATAATGGAATAATTAATAACAATATAAGAATAAATTCTGTGTTTTCCATACTCACAACTCTAAACCTACTTTTGCACACCCCATATATAGAAAAAATAAGATTTCAAAAGAGTATTTTAGTTAAGCTCATTTTTTTGTAATAAAACATCACAAATATGTATGTGCATTTATACATAGAAAAATACTTCATAATGTTAACAGTGGTCATACCTCATGGTGTGGTTACTAGTAATTTCTATTTTTTCTCTTGATACTTGGGTATTGTATAATGTTTTTAAGGTAAGTAAGCTTTTTGCAATGAGAAAAATTAAACCCTTTTGGTGAGAAATATGTGTATACCACTTAAATTGTGCTTAAACATTATTAGAGGTTGAAAGGCCTTACGCTTTTTCCATAGATAGTTGTTTATGAGGCACAAGAATGTTGAAAACAAGCAACTTTTTCTAGTTAAAGGAAAATAATAATTAAAAATCAAAATGCTCCAGGATGAACATGGTTCTTGTGAAAATTGGGCCCGTGTGATATTAGGAAGCTTGCGAGTGTTCAGTGTGGATACAAAAGCTGAAGATACCCCTTGAGGTGATCTAACCCAAGGCTTCACTTCATGCTGAGGAAAGTAAAGCCAAGGTCACCCAGGTTGTGGCAGAATCAGACCTGGGACCTTGTTGAGAAAGCCTGAGTCTCATTCCACTGTCCCATTCTGCCTTGAGGTGACACTCTCTAATTTCTGGATATGAAACCACTCTTCAATGTTTTAAACCACTCTTCAAATGCTTCCTCTCATGACTTTGCTCTTCAAATAAAGAATGCTAGCTGAGGGAGGGAAGGAAGGAGGGGGCAAGGGAAAGTGGTGGGGGGGAGGCAGAGACAAATGTATTTAAAAAGTAAATAAATTTAAAAAAAAAGAATGCTGATACACTAAATTTTTGAAGCTATACATATTTGTAGAATGGTAAGAATTTAGCAAAAGAATTGCTTTATCAGGTATGATCCATAACTTAAAAAGTTTTCATTGCAGTATTTTTAGTTCCTGGTAGAGGAAAGGTGATATGTTTCTCAGCTTTCTGTGCAGGTCACTGCGCTAACACTGCTCACCCTGTATGTTGACACAGTCTCCTCTTCCCACTGACAGCTGGCCACATTCCGCACCCTCCTCTGCACCGCCAAGGGTGAAGCAGCCACCTTCTTGCTGAGCAATCACCGTCCACCACAGCCTCTGAAGGGCCGACAAGTGAGGGCCTCATTCCACTAAAAGCTGTAGCCAGTGGACCACCCCAAACATACCTGCGGAGAGAAAGCAAAATCAAATAGGACATAAAAATCCTTACTGATGATTCTTTCCTAGAATTCTAGTTTGTGGGTACCATTGTGCTATCAGCCTCAGGAGCACCAAGAAAATCAGATCCCTTTCATCAAACAGACTTGACATATCCGTCTTGGATTTGCATTCCTGGGTCTTCAACAGGAAACACTGTATCACATGTGTTAAAATCCATGAAATGTATCCACTTCAACCTGGGGGAAAACATGCCAGTATGGCAAACCTCAGGATGTATGAAATATTTTCCCTTCTTGTATAGACCGAATTAGTCATGTCTTTCTGTGATGTTTGTGAAAAACTTAAGCTTGTTTCCAGAATAATAGAACTGGGACACCTTTTTCTAAACGAGTGATTTTGCTTAATGTCTTGATATCATTCCAGTTCATAAAAAGTTGACAAGGTTTCCAATTTTAAAGAGAATTTAAAATTTCTCTTAATTTTGATTATGTTGCTGATTCATGATGCCTTTGGTCAAATGAACAATTTGACAGTTGTTGGGAGTGGAGGTGAAATATAACTACTTCCTATGTCTACTCCACAGATCAGCAAAATAACCCACACAGTTGTGGTGAAGAATTCCTCAGGATATAAGTGGCTGTTTAAACTTGAATGAATGGTTGCACATCACATTCACTGGTGATATTAATGATAACTGGCGAGGGACTGATGAGATGCAGTGCTGGCCAACTCAGGGCATGAGGTCCGTTGAAAGGAGCAGCTCACAGACACAGTGCAAGCTGTCGAGACACAGTGATGCATGGCCCACTCTGCCTTGCATTTTGGCCACAGAGCAGGGCCAGTCCCTGCAGCTCATTCTTCTGTCAATGGATGGGAAAACTTACCTGAGTCTTAGATAAATATACAAGCTGACCATAAACCCACCCATTTCTGGGGCAAAACCCATCTTCCCTTAACCATGTCCCTTAGTCTTTAAGTAATTTTGCAAGGTGGCCCTTGATGTTCACATTAACCTATTACTCTGGTATATTTTTATTTGTTTTGTGTGAATGAAGATGGGGTTGGGGGATTTCTTTGCTATTTCTAGTACAAGGACTAAGATTATGCGTTAATTTAGTAACCACACAGAAGACTTGACCACATGCTATCATGGTCTGAGAGAAGTTTAACCAACTTTCCTTGATTTTGATGATTTGCTTAGGATACTGCTCTTCTTCTGGGTGTAGATTTTATAACTGAAAATATATTCTGTGATAGTTTTCCTGACAGGGTAACTGCATGTCAGTAAATTGTGTAACAGTGAGGCAGGTGGTTGCAGAAGACAGGCTCCTGGAGACTGAGGCCGATGGCTTAGTCATTGTGAAGCTTACCATCACCCCTCCTCCCCAGTATCCAGCTTGAGGCCTTACAGAGAATTCTAATGATGTAGTAAATATCTAATGAATCAATTATTTTTTCTAATTTTATCTTATCTTTGATAATTCTCTTATTGCTTGGGGTCAATGTACCCTAAGTTAAGGTAACAAGTAAAATGTAAGCTAGCTCTTGAAAATGGTTTCTTCTTAAAGTAATACTTATTAAATCTACTTGTGTAAACAGAAATTCTAATTGTTTTAAAAATACCAATGGGAAGGTGCTTCTTTAGTTTGGAAAGATATGTTGTGAAGTACCCCAGTCTGAGAAAGAAGTGTTTTACACTCAGAGATGGTAAGTTGTTGTACCTGGAAGGGTGTGTGGGGTGGGGATTCTAATTACTGGGTGTGAGAAGTATCGCTTTGTAACTTGTGGTTTCTGCTACAGTATTAGGTTGGTTCTATGCTACAAATTGGACTTTGATGGACTAAAAATGTTTCCTTGAAGATTGTCTGCTAATTTATTTTTCTCAGAGGCAAAAGCTGTCAGGATGTGTTCAAGTTATTTTCTGAGACTATTAAAGAGCTATAAAAGCTAGTAGAGTTTTCTCTTGTTTCCTACAACATGTATTGGATGTATGTTTGTTACGCATTTTGTGTTTTAATTTAAATTGGATTCAACCACAGTATAATAAAATGAGACAAACTGAACTGTATCAGGGGCCTGGTTATGCGAGACACAGGACAAGATTACATTTTTATACTTATGTAGAAAATAATTTCAAACTCACAGAAAAACTGCAAGCAGAGCAAAAACCAATTTTTGTTCTGAATTACTGAAGAGTAAGTTGTAACCTGCTGCTACAAACTTGAATGTCTGTGTCCTACAAGCTGACACATTTGCCCTACATGACATGGAACAGCTGACCGTGAGAAGGCATGGCCTTGTCACCACCTTCTCCCCTGGAGACTGGACACTGTTCCTTAGTCTGTCTTTGCTTTTTAGGACCTTACTCTTTTGAAGGTGGTAAGCAAGTTATTTTTAAGATTTTATTTATTTATTTTCACAGAGAGAGGAAGGGAGGAAGAAAGAGTGCACCTCGCAGAGAGTCACTGTGTGACTGCCCTCTGTGGGGGAGTCGGGCGGTTCCCACCGATGGTGACCGACCCTCTGGCTTTGCCCAGGACAGTGGGGTTTCCCTGGCTGCCGGCCTTCCAGTTAATCAGAGAAAAACATTGCTACAAGAGAGAAATGTTGATTGGTTGTCTCTTGTACACACCCCAACTGGAGCATATGCCCTCAACCCAGGCATATGCCTTGACTGGAAATTGAACCAGCAATCTTTTGCTCTGCAGGATGATGCCCAACCAACTTAGCCACACCACTCAGAACAAGGCCAGTTATTTTATAGAATGTCCCTTCATTTGTGTTTGTCCCCTGTTTCACTGTGCTTAGATTCAGACTATGTGAGGGTGGCAGGACTATCCCCAGAGCAATGCCCATGCTGCACTCTCCTCACTGCCTGTGATCAGGAAACCTCCTCTGACTTTCCTTATAGCATACATTCACTTTCATCACTGGCTAAGGTGATGTCTATGAAGCTTCTCCACTGTGGTTACTATTTTATCCTCCGTAGCAAACACATATTTGTGCAGGGATGTACATTGAGACCATGTAAATATCCTGTACCTCATTAAACTTCTAATTTATTCATTTATTTCCAATATGGACTTAGCAATTTTTATGTCATTCAGTGGGCTCTAGTCTGTTATCATTATTGCTATCTGTTTTCACTGGTAGATTGTTTTTAATTTGGCCAATAGGATCATCTTCATTCTGGTCTTTGTCCTTTGACATGGCCTGTGTCCTTCAACATGACCCCACCTCTTTGCTTTCTGATGCAATTTGCCATAAAAGGTGAATCACAGTCCCATCATCTCACATTATCTGATACGGTATTAATTATTCTGTTTCAGGTACTTGGGGGTTCATTCTTCCTTTCTGGCCCCCCCTCATTTTTACTGTTACACCTTTCTTACCACTTCCCAACATCAACTCCAAGCCAAGCAATTTGTGTTAATTTCTGCTTAGGTTCTGGAGGAACGGTATCATTTTATCTAAGTTTGGGTTAAGTCCTTGAATTTGGGTCCAGACTACATACTGTAGTCCTCAAGTTCCTGGTTGAGAAGTTCCCTGGGTTTTGCCAACATAAATGTCTCACCTGTGTTTGCCTCTAGCAAATTGTCACCCTGTTCTCAGCATTCCATTTTGGAAAATCTTCTTCCCAGCCCTTTCCCTTTTTCTGATCATGTATTTCTGTATGGTCTGACCGTGAACTCCACATTTCTTTGCCACATCCTTTCCCAGTCTTACCTTGTTATTTTACTGCCCTCCCCCTCATTCTCCTCCTTTACCCTCCCAGCCTGTTGAGGGCCATCTCTTCCAGTTCTGGCTTCTTCTGTCAGAAAAAAAGCAATAATCTATCTTGACAGGTTAATGATGATGCAGCTTTCTTCCTAGGTCATAGCAATGCAAAAGGGAATGTGTGGCTCGGTGTAAGCCAAGGGACTATTTTCCTAAGGAGTCTCATGATTTGATACACTTTGATAAAGTCCTTCAGGTCCAGAGTCAAGCCCTTACCTCTGCAAGGTCAGAAACCTAATTTGTTGGCACAATGAATTTCTTTCTTGGGTGGAAACACTGTAACAGAGTTTACAAGTCTGATATATAGAACAAATGTCAAATTATAATTGCATAAAGAGTAATTCAAGTATTGTATTAGCTGGAATACTCTAATCAGCATGACAATTAATCAGAATCAGAAGTTGTCTTGGTGAGTATGGAACTCAGAACAAAGGATACAAATAGAAGTTAAGTGCTTTGTGTTATTAGACCTGAAATAGTCTGAAAAGTCCAACTCACCAAAGGGTGATTTTCAAAGTGACTTCATAAAAATAGAATTTTGTCGGCTGTACCTCCCAGCATTATCTCCAAAATATAGACAATCTTTCCAAGAGGACTAAAATACTCAGTCTGTTGGATAATGTTTTCTTAATGTTGGGTCATGCTTGGATAAACTCCATTAATATGTACTACTGTGGTTTTTAGCTTTCTATTCTTCTGTGACAAATCAACCTTTCCCTGGTTTTTGAACGTGTCAGCACGTTCACTCAAATCAAATAGTTTCAAATCTAAAGGCTACTCTGACCTTTAAGGAGAGTTTTTATATGTCTTCTCTTATCTATAAGGTACAGGTTATAAAACCCAACTCTTAAAGTTCTTTGGCTGATATATAGAACTTTAAACTTCTTTTTCTTATTTTCAGGATTTTTTTTTTTTTGGAAAGTCGCAGTGGAGTCCCCAAGTACACAATGGTGATGTTTACGTCTACTTATTGAATGGGTAAAAAAAAAAAAAAAAAGAAAGAAAATGATACAGCATACCTAAAATAATATAGCCTGTTTCTTCATTTCACTGATTTATTTTTGTGGGAATTTCCTTCCAGGAAAACTTAGCTTTTGATGCAGATGAGAAGCAGTAAGATAAAATCAAGAATACACATGAAATGAGAGGCACTGACTGATCTATTTGAGTCAGGTTCATCACAATTCTGTGACCAAGTAAATGCTATGCAGGTGTAGAGACTTTAGAAGACAATTTTCAGGGTTTTTGTGTAATAAGAATCTTTGAGATCCACAAAACTTCTACACCCCTGATACCAAGGGTCCCCCCTGAGTATTGTTCACCTAACCTTTCTCTTGGCATGGCAACCATGCCCATTAGATATCTGCAGTGAGGCAGTGAAACAACAGGGCCCCAGCCCTTATCTGCTTTGCTGGGTCATCACTGTACTGTCTTGAGTTTTTCCTTTTAGAAACTGGTGCTGAACACACATGGATTTGGCTCCCAACTAAACAAGGAAAGCTTCTGTTGTGTTTACAGCTTCCCAGACACACACCGTTAGCTGTTTGCTCACTCATGACAAGAATTTGAAATTCGAGCCCCAATGATTCATATACTTAATAGACACTATTAAGAAAAAGCAAAGCTGAATCTGACTTATAACCAATATCAAGTAAAAGAGGAAGCAGAGAGCTGTTTTCTTGATTATGAGGATACACATCCTATGAGAAGCAAATTCCCCTTGTCATGGGTAATGAAAATGATCCTTGTTAACAATTAGTAAGATGAAAAGGTTATAAGGACTCATTCCATTTGAAATTTTTAATGAAAGAACTGAGTTACATCTATTACTTTCTAATGTTCAATAATAGACTAATGCTTGAATTAGTCCCTCTGAGTAATGTTTATTGTAAATGTGTCAGTTTACCACCAAATCAGATATCTTTCAAATGACTTGGAGAACCTTAACCACATCCTGTTCTGTGATAATTTCATACAGGTGAGCTTACCTGTGACAACTCTGCAACTACGTCATAAATCAAAGCCAAAGTTGTCTCTGCTGCTCCTTTGCACCTCCTTTACTCCTCCTTAGCTGTGACACAGAATCTGAGAAATACTAATTGTGTAATTGCCAATTTAATGATTTACCAGACATGGATATACACATGTGCCCCCAAACATACATATATATAGGTGTGCTTCTCCACCTCTTCTGTCCTCCACTGAAATGCATGGTTTCCTCCCTTCCCTCCAGCTGTTTTTTTCTAGTTTGTTCTTTCTCCACTTCATTCCCTCTCTGGGTGATTTTTTTCTGACCCATGACTTTATATAACATTCACTATATTGATAACACCTATATTCGTAAGTCCAGCTCCAGCCCTTTCCCTGAAATTCTGTCTAGCTGCCTTTGGGACTGCCCTGTGGCATGTGTGATAGACACCTGAAACCCAACCACCCGTCCACACAGAAATCTCCATTCCACACACCATCCCTGCAACCTACCTCTCCCAGGAGTGTTATCTCAGCAAATGGCATCCTTAAGCAGATCCTCAAGATTCACAGCCATGCTCACCCCTGTCCGAACCACATCCACCTGTGAGCAAGGCTGAGGATTCTCCTACCCCAGGGTTCCCTGCTGCTCTCAGCTCCCTAGTCTTCTCGTCGTAGCTCCTTGCTCAGCACCTCCCTGTCACTGGGAAGAAAACTCAAGTCCTGAGATGACTTACAGGGTTCTGTGTGGTCTAGGCACCTGCTGCCCCACTCTAGGCTGCTGTCCCATGCCGTAGTGTCTGGCCCCCACATTCCTTTTCCCTCCACAGGCCTCCTGATCGTCACTTCTGACATTCTGTGCTGTGAGCCACTCCCCTGGGTTTTCACATGGTTCATCCTCACTTCTTCATCTGTCACCTCCTCAAAGAGCCTTTCTCTGACTGCTCCCAAGTCATGCCATTATTTTCCTGACCTTGCTTTATGTTCTTTCATAGCACTTAGCGTAAGACACGGAACATTAGGCTGTGGATTTCTAATGTCATCTTTCTATCTCTCCCACCAGAATGTAACTTCTTAAGAACAATGATTTTTTTTAACAAGTCTTCCCAGCATCCAGTAGTGCTTAGCTTGTGATAGATATCAATAAATATTTTAATGAGCAAATGAATATTTTTTCATGCGCATTTACCATAACATACATAGTTGTTCAAAGGGCTCAAACTTGCAACTAGAAGATGAATAAGTCCCAGGATATAATGCCCAGCCTAGTGACTACAGTCAACAA